GGGCTGCCACATGACCCCCGGCCTAGCAGCCGCTGTTGCGCCGCATGAACGCGTGGCCCCCCACGGGGTACTGCATCTCGATGAAGGTCAGGGGCCCCACGGTGATCTCGGACGGGCCCTGCGCCTTGAAGCCCGATTTCTCGTAGAAGGGCACCAGGAAGTCCTCGCACATGAGCACGGCGCGGCGCACGTAGGGCAGGCAGCGCAGGTACTGCAGGTAGCGCCACAGCAGGATGGAGCCCTTGCCCTGCTGCCGGAAGGTGCGGTGCACCGCCAGCACGTGGATGTGCACCGTGGTGCCCTGCGGCTTGTGCAAGGTCAGCGCGTCCTGCGGGGGAGAGGGGGGGGACACCGTGAGACACGCCGCCTCCTCCTCCTCCTCCTCTTCTCGCCCGTCTCTTGCGAGGGAGGAGGAAGACGAAAGGAGAGGGCGCTTGGCCAGAACCGGCCGCCGGTCTCCGGGAGCGTGGCACAGCCGGCTCAAGGCCAGCAGGAGTCACACGGACACCACAGTACAGGGAGCTGGCAGCTGTGGGGACAGAGGGACCCTCTGACGCCCCTGCGCCGGGGCTCCCCGCTGCTGTCCCGGAGACAGGTTCTCGGCTACGCCACCTGAGTCTGTGCTTGACTGAAGAATGGGCCTAAGAACAGTGGGTTTCGTGCTCCAGCGGTGAAGGTCCAGAAGAGTCCCGATTCAAGCCCCAGCTCTGCGGCTGTCACCCTGAGCGCCCTCCCGAACCGCCCCGAGCTCCGTGCTGAAGACGAGATGCCAAATTCGGGCTCATGCCGCAGTGTACTGCTGCCTAACTCCCTCCCTGGTGTCGGCCGTTTGCTGTGGCCAAAACCAAGAGCTAAACAAACGACTGCGAGAAGACTGGACCCGACACGGCACTGACAGACCCAGTCCTGTCTGACCTCCTCCTGGGCAAACGCACCCCCCCTCCCTCCCCCTTACCATGGTGAGCTTGTCCTGGTCCCACAGCGAGCCGATGATGAACGCCACGAGCCGGCCTTCCTCGAACCAGCCCAGAGACAGCTCGGGGCACAGGCTCAGGAAGTGACGCACCTCATCCAGGTACAGGGGGCACTCTCCCGACACCGAGATGAAAGCTTCCAGAGAATTAAAAAAAAAAG